TCTCTCTCTCTCTGGCGACCGGCCATGGCGGTCAGCCATTTACCCTGTTTCTCTTCTCTCTTAGTCTCCCTACTCTGCCAGGCCTATAATAAAGTGGTTACTATGTCTAATATGTCTCATTCTGTGTCTCATCTTGCGCCTTCCTCCTTTTCTTCTTTATCTTTAATTCAAACAAAAGAATAACAGTGCACACCTGTCAAAAAGGTCACAAGTGAGATGGGCCTGGGCTACATAATAAACCCTGTTTCAAAAATTCCAGAAAGCAGAGTTGAAAAACTGTAGACTGGAGAGATGGTTCTACAGCAGCCCTGGGAAGACAGACAGGTGGATCCTTGCAGCTTAATGACCAGCCAACCTAGCTGATTCCGTGATTTCCACATACAGTGCGAGACTCTGTCTTTAAAAAGGCAGAGCCCAGTGTGGTGGCGCACCCCTCTAATCCCAGCACTTGAGAGGCAGAGGTAGGCGAATCTCTGTGAGTTCAAGGTCAGCCTGGTCTACAGAGTGAGTTCCAGGACAACCAGGGCTTCACAGAGAAACCCTGTCCTGGAAAACAAAAAAACAAAACAAAAAGGCAAAGTTGTAGACACCTAGTGAGTGGCCTCTGGCCTACACACACGCACACACACGCGCACACACACACACACACACGCACGCACGCACGCACGCACGCGCACACACACACGCACGCACGCGCACACACACACACACATACACACACACCTATTTCTTAGCTCGAAACAACCAGCCTCTATTGTGCCAGTCACAAGGTTTCATTCCAGTAGTTCTGGTCTCTTGTTAATCATGTCTGACTCTTCAGCCCCAGCTGACTGGAACCATAGATTCTTCACAGAAAAATTCCAGTAGAATCTTTCCCTTTGTAACTTCACAAGCCAGGTCTCCATCTTCTGTTCAGCCCTGAACACTCTTATCTTCCAAGCTCCCACAGCACAGCCCACTGAACTCTCAACACTCATTGAGAGTTCAAAGTTCCAAAGTCCTTTTCCACAGTCCTCCTAAAAACACGGTCAGGTCTGTCAGTCACAGCAATGCCCCACTACACTTGTACCAACTTGTCTTAGTTAGTTCCTATTGCTGTGATGAAACACTATGGCCGAAAAGCAAACTGGGGAGGAAAGAGTTTATTCAGCTTATGCTTCTATGTCCATCATAGTTTATTATCAAAGGAAGTCAAGCAGGGCAGGAGCCAGGAACCAGGAGCTGATGGCTGAGGCCACTGACTTGCTCAGCCTGCTTTGTTATAGAACCCAGGAACACCAGCCCAGGGATGGCACCACCTGCAATGGGCTCAACCATCCCCCAACAATCATCAATTAAGAAAATGCCCTACAGATTTGCTTACAGCAGGATCTCATGGAAACATTTTATCAATCGAGGTTCCCTCCTCTCAGATGACTTTAGTTTGTCTCAGATTGACAAAACCATCTAGCATAGCTAGTTCTAGCTACAACGGACAAGAGTACACCTGTTGCCATTTCAAGCCTGTTTAAATGTCATTTTCTTTCTGCTACATCAAATAACAGGAGCATCCTCCAACTTTCTACCCTTTTTTCTGTTTTCTATTTAAAATTGTGTGTGGTGCATACATATTCATGTGGATGTGCTCGTGTCCATGCTGGTGAGACCAGCAGGGCTGGAGAGATGGCTCAGCAGTTAAGAGCACTGACTGCTCTTCCAGGGGTCCTGAGTTCAATTCCCAGCAGCCACATGGTGGATCACAACCATCTATAGTGAAATCTGATGCCCTCTTGGGGCATGCAGGCTTACATGCAGGCAGAACACTACACATTAAATAAGTAAATAAATCTTAAAAAGATAGAAGAAGAAGAAGAGACCAGCATCACTAAGGTGAAATGGTAAAATCTCTGGGAAGTGTTTGCTGAGAGTCAGCATACAGAGCTATGTTCCAGAGGCAGTCAAGGTTGTACCTCATTCTGGCAGCTGAACTTGGTAGTATGAGTGTCACCCAGATAGTACTGGTTTTGAAGGCATGAAGGGGTCATGGAGAGTGGCTGAGACTCAGCACTAGGAGAGGCCACTGGTGAAGGTGCAGCCTCAGTGGCAGTTGAAAGCCCAAGACTGAAGGGTCATGCAAAGAGTTGAGGCTTGGCACCATGAGGAGAGCCTACTAGAGGCTTTTGATGAAAGTGCAGCCCAGTTACAGCAGAAGACCCCAGCATGTTAGAGATGCCAGTGCCATGGGACAACCACCAAGAACAGCAGCAGTGGAGAGTGGGACTGACCCCAGCTTAGAAGATGGGCTATGTGTGCTGAACAGGGCAGAGATGGGGAAGTGACCTAAGCCCCTTGAAGGACCCCAGAAGATCGTGAGTCCCAGATATTGAACACTGAATTTACACTGTTAGAGTGTAGTTTTGATTTGTTTAGATTTTGAGTGTGCCCCCCCCTTTTTTTCCTCTCTTGAAGGAAGGAAATACTATTTTTTTTTATTTTACAAGATCCCACAGTTGAGAGGCTATTTTTTTGTTGTTTTTTTTAAAAATTATGATTATGGAGACTGGAGAGGTAGATGGCTCAGGGGTTAAGAGCACTGCCCGTTGTTCCAGAGGTCTTGAGTTCAATTCCCAGCAACCACATGGTGGGCTCCCAACCATCTGTAATGAGATTAGTGCCCTCTTCTGGACTGCAGGGATACATGCATGCAGAACACTATACATAATAAATCTTTAAAAAATGATTATGATATTGATATCTGTGTGTCATCTTGGAGATGAACAAGAAAGGATAGGTTGTGGCTTAACAGT